GAGACTGAACAACCTGAGCTGTGGAAAATGAGTCTCTGCTAGATGTCTGTCACAGCACATTCACATGCTGCTGGGGTGTAAAGAGGTATAATCTTTTAAAGACATAATCTGGCTATTTCCATCCAAATTTGAAATGCACGTGTCCTTTTATCCAGCAACTCAACTTGTAAAAATTTATTCCACAGAAAGCCCGCATGCCAAAGAGGAAGGTACCGTGATGTTCATCTCAGTAAACATGAGAAACAACTCATGTTTAGGCACCGGGTCAATATATTGAAATATGATAAAGTATATAAAGATGATATTAAGGAAAGAATGACAAGGATCTTATCTTGTGTGTTATACTGGAACTACCTCCAAGAAATTATATGAGGGGGGACCCAAAACAAACCAGAATTATATTTTGGACGGTGGGATCCTTAGCACAGACTTCCTCCAATAGGTAAGTGTTCTAGGAACACTCACATCAGTGTACTAGCTAATGTTGTTGTGAGAGGCTGTGTTCTCGTGAAATGTCCCAAGTTGTGGCAAACAGGTGACTGGTTCTTCTACCATCAAAACGCACCTGCCCACATCACGCTGTGTCCACAGTTTTTGACCAAAATTGGCATGACCCCTAGGCCCCAACCTCCCTATTCACTGATCCCACCCAGACAACTTTTTCTGTTTCTCTGGATGAAAAAGTCCTCAAAGGAAAATGTTTTGCCGATGTGCAAGAGGTGAAACAAACAAACAAACAAAAAACCAGAAGCACAAAAAGGCACCAAAATTGATGAGTTCAAAAACTGTTCTGAGCAGTAGAAAAAGTATCTCAATAGTCGTACTGCATCAAACAGAGAATACTTTGACAGTAACTGAAGTCTAAACATGTAAGAATAAACACACAATTTTTTGGGACCCCAAAACCCCAGAATTTCATGAATACATACATATATCGTGTATGTACTAATGTATTTATATATGTATATATAATTATGTATTCATACACATTGACTATCTCTGATAACAGAGATTGCCTTAAGGGAACTGAGTTTCTGAAGTTAGGGAAAGACTTTCATTTTATAGCTCCTATTCCTTTTATTTATTTTTTAATCATACAGATGTATGGCTATTTCCTTTTTTATTAACTTTCTGGGGGCGTTACTTTTCTAAATCTATTTTTTATTTCCCAGTGCATGGATTTTTTTCTGAGCACTTGAGGAAATACAGAAAACATTTACAAGAAAACTGCAGGTCAACCTCCCGATACTGAATGCAAAAATATTAAACAAGATGTTACCAAGGTTAATTCAATAATACATCAAAAACATAATCCAGCCAGACACAGTAGCTCAAGCCTGTAATCCCAGCACTTTGGGAGGCCAAGGAGAGGATTGCCTGAGCTCAGAGGCTCAAGACCAGCCTGGAAAATTTGGTGAGACCTCATCTCTACAGCAAATCAAAACATAAGCAGAACATGTTGGCACATGCCTGTAGTTCCAGTTACTTGGAGGACTGAGGTGGAAGGATTGCCTGAGGCCAGCAAGTCAAGGCTGCGGTGGCTGTGAGCATGCCACTGCACTCCAGCCTGGGCGACGGAGTGAGACTCCAACTCAAAAAAAGGGGCATAATCCATCAATAACCAAGGATGCCAAGCTGCTTTAATTTTAGAATTCAATTAATATAACTGATCACATTGGTAGATGAAAGGAGAAGCACCCATATGATTATCAGAATATGTGCAGAAAAATATTTGATAAAATTCAACATTAGCTTATTGTTTTTAAAAGAAGTCTTAGTGAATGATGTATAGAAAGAACTTCTGTAATTAAAGCATTACAGAAAAACCCAGAGTAAATATACTTAATGGTAAATTTTCTCCCTATATGTCCTATAAGCAAAGAGAATACAAAGGTGTTTAGCTATGACTCAATCTCTCTTTGAAAAATGATCACTTTAAAATATCTTGCATTTCATTTCAAGGTCTTTAATGTACATTTCTCTTCTGAACATCCAAAGCCAGAAGTTCCACAAATTCCAACTGAAGAAGTTCTAAAGTAGAGCTTAAATTTTAAAAAAGTAAAAACAAGAGTCCATTCTATAGCATTATCAGATTTATAGTACTCAGTACTCTAAAGTGTTTTATAAACCTTCAATGGGTCCTTTAGCCTACAATATAAAGTCCACAATCTGGCTCTGCACAATCTGACTCCAATCTCCTGTTCCAATTTGACTTCTTATTGTTCGACTACAGGAACTAACAGTACTCATCTACTCAGTGTCTAGTGCCTTATGACTTCCACTAACCTTGTCTTTCCTCCATGCTCACATCCAGCTGAGAGAAATGGAAATCAGACATCACCCTTATTACTGATAAAAGCTGACTAGACACAATGGCTAGAGATCTGTCATAAGAATTAAGCAGACTGCCCCAACCAGTCACTGACACAGCTAGACAACTTCACGCCACCCAAACAGGGCAGATCTGTTTATACAAGGCAAAAGAAGCCATGGGTAGCCGACTCTGAACAGTGCACTCAGCTCAGGGTCTCAGTTCCTTTTCCCAAACTCACCAACCAGATAAGTTATTCCTCTTTCTCTTCCCATTTCAGACCTCCAGTCTGGAAACACCAGGCCAGGGAACAGTAGGCTCCTTCACTAACATTCAACGCTTCTTTTCAAAGCACAGTAAAAGTCATTCTGACTCAAAAACCATTCCATCCCAGACAACTTTTATGCTATCCATTCCTTAGAATTCCTAAGGAACTAATGTCTGTGCCACTCTGTTGATTCAACATTTACAATAATGTCTCTGGTACTGATAAACAGTCTATCAAGATAAAATAAACAACAAGTTCCCTGATCCTGAGACTCTCTCTCTCTTTGTACTCTCATCACTTAGATGTATGTTCTGAACAATAATGATGCTCAACTATCTATTAATTTTTTAAAATTATGACTGTTAGAATGCAGAGTGTGGTCTTTAATAGGTAAGAAGGAATCTTAATTAAGAGAAAACATGATCAAAGAGATATTTTCTGAAGATTAATAATCAATGGCATGTCTGATTAGAATACAAGATACAAATAAACAGAGACACAATAACAGAAGGTGCAATAAAGAAAACTAGCTATTTAGATGTGATTTAGAAAAAGGTTCTTTGAACGTCAGAATAAAAAATCAAGCATAAATTATAAAATGTTGGAAAGCTGTCCAAAAAGAACCGAATTTTCTGGGCGTGGTAGCTCACACCTGTAAACCCAGCACTTTGGAAGGTTGAGGCAAGAGGATTGTCTGAGTCCAAGGGTTGAGACCAGCCTGGGCAACTTGGAGAGACCTCATCTCTACGATACATTTAAAAATTAGCTGGAAGTGGTGGCACAAACCTGTGGTTCCAGCTACTTGGAAGGCTGAAGCGGAAGGATCGCCTGAGTCCAACAGGTCAAGGCTGTAGTGGCTGTGAGCATGCCACTGCACTACAGCCTGGGTGACAGAGTGAGACTGACTCAAAAAAAAAGAACTGAATTAAAGCAAATCAAGAAGACAGATTAGGAAATGCATAAATATACTAAAGGTTGCTGTAGGTCACTTGCTGATATTAAACTACTGCTTAGCGACACTGCTCACAAAACAGGATTAAAAATGTTAAAAATGGGAGCTAGAGCCGGGCTCGGTGGCTCAGCCTGTAATCCTGCGCCTTTGGGAGACTGAGGTGAGTGGATTGCCTGAGCCCGCGGGTTGGAGACCCGCCTGGCCAATTTGACGAGACCTCATCTCTACAGTAAATCAAAAAATCAGCCGGGTGTGGTAGCGCGTGCCTGTAATTCCGGCTACTTGGAAGGCTGAGGCGGAAGGATCGCCGGAGCCCAGCAGGGCGAGGCTGCGGTGGCCGGGAGCGGCCACTGCACTCCAGTCTGGGCGACAGAGTGAGACTCCAACTCAAAAAAAACAAAAAAAAAAGGGAGCTAGTAAGTCATTTTCATACAGTTTCTATGTAAACCAACAGATATCAATTAGATCCTTATTAGAGTTCCAAGCCCTAACTGAAAAGAAAAAGGAAGACAATTTAAGGAGCTGATAATGAGGTTTCTAAAGGGAGGGAAAAAACTTAGGGCAAATATTCTTTAAAAGTCTGAGGGGTAATCTTACTATTAAAGACTAATGCTCCAGAAGGATATCAAAGTCACTCATAATAATTTGGAGGTTGCCAAGGACTGGTTTAAAAGTGTTTTCAAGTCTGACCGAGAACTCTGACATTTAGAAATAGATAAGATGTGAATACTTAAAGTCAAATTTTCGTTTCAGGGAAAAAAAAAAAAGACTAATGCTTAAAGAGAAAAATGCAATTAGACATTTTCCTACTCTTATGAAAAGAGAAATTCAACAACAGAGAAATGTTAGCTAAATCTAAAGAAGAATCCTCTAAACATAAGCATTGTTAATGAACCTATGGCAGAAACAATACTATCATTTTTAATTAATCAACGCAATACATAGGAGTCCAGGAACACAGTGGGACAGCAGTTCAGTTCATAGAGAAACTTACAATTTAAGCTATCTAAAGACAAAAGAAGACAAAAGTAACAACAATAAAAAAGCCATAAAAATAAACATATATAGAAGGTATCTGTAGATACAATTACTACTCTGGAGAGGTCTTTAAAATTACCATAAAAGTATTTTGTTTGCCCTGAGCCAAATAAATACCATGATAAATGCCATGACGCCATGGTAAATCAGATATGGTGCTTCCAAAAAATATTCCTGATATTCAACAGTGCCTGTGCTTCCTCCACTCTACCACTCACAGCCTCCAGTCCATAGCAGATATCACTAAGATATGGATGGCTTGCTTTCCTGCTCAAAACCATATAAAATCTGTGACACTGGATTTCACTTTGAAAAAGTTTTATATTTAAAATGAAGATAGGTCAAGTGAATTCTTAAAACCTTGTTGTAAACATCAGGAATTTCCTATAAAAATTTCTCCATTAAAAAAACTTAGAGAGGTGGCCAGTGGAGCCAGCGAGCCTGGCACGTGACTCCCTGACGGACTCCCTCGGTCGCTCGGAGGCTGGGTCTGTCTGTCCGTCCGCGGGTGCCATCATAGCGGACGTGGCCAGTCAGGTGCTCCTGAGCTCCGGTCTCACCATCCTGTCCCAGCTGCTCATGTATGTGAAAGTGCTCATCCAGGTGGGATATGAGCCTCTTCCTCCAACAATAGGATGAAATATTTTCAGGCGGCAAGTATGTCAGCTTCCTGGTTTTTTTTGTTATGCCAGCATTGATGGAAGACGCGGGTTGTCCACAGACTTAACTCCAAGACTGTGTTCAGGAGTCCTTGGAACTGTGGTCCATCGGAAAGTTTTACAGCATTACCAGGAATGTGAGAAGGGTGAGGAGTTAGGACCTGGAAATGTACAGAAAGAAGGCTCGTATTCATCTGACCGAGTTATCAAGGAGACAACTCGAGAGATGATTGCTCGTTCTGCTGCTACCCTGATCACACATCCCTTCCATGTGATTACTCTGAGATCTATGGTACAATTCATTGGCAGAGAATCCAGGTACTGTGGACTCTGTGGCTCCACAGTAACTATCTACCGGGAAGAGGGCATCCTAGGATTTTTTGCGGGTCTTGTTCCTCGCCTCCTAGGTGACATCATTTCTTTGTGGCTCTGTAACTCACTGGCCTACCTCATCAATACCTATGACAGTGGGGTTTCCACCATGAATGAAATGAAGAGTTATTCCCAAGCTGTCACAGGATTTTTTTGCCAGTATGTTGACCTATCCCTTTGTGCTTGTCTCTAATCTTATGGCTGCCAACAACTGTGGGCTTGACAGTGGGTGACCTCCTTACTCTCCAGGATATTCTTCTTGGATAGATTGCTGGTGCATGCTACAAAAAGACGGCAATATGAGCCGAGGAAATAGCTCATTTTTCCAGAAAGTCCCCTTTGGGAAGACTTACTGTTGTGACTTGAGAATGTTAATTTGAAGATGTGGGGCAGGGACAGTGACATTTCTATAGTCCCAGATGCACAGAATTATGGGAGAGAATATTGATTTCTATACAATACAGCGCGCTTTTTTAATAATCATTTGATCTTGGGGAAATGGAGGTGTTTGCTGTCTGCCCTTTTTGTTCTTTTTCCCAGCACAACATAATTTACCACTGATATGCTCCCTTTAGTTACTCTGAAGTGGGACATTTTTGCCCCCGATTCTTATTTTACGGAAACAGAAAGGAAAAAAAGTTACATTTTCCTAAAGGAACAGCCAGGTCGTCATGTGATTTGAGTCTCTACTTAAAGCTCTAAAATACAGAGAAAGAGAAATAATTCTGTAAAACTTTAGAAAATTAATAAGGCCAACTATGTGCGAGGTGATGAATTACCTTTTCTTGGGTAGAGTCGAAAAACCCAGCTGCATCCACCAGTATCTGTCCCTAGTACATGTTTCTAAGCTCACTTGATTAACCTCGAAAAGGACAGTGGTTGCTAAATGACCCTAGAAAATCTCTCTGTGAGGCATCCACACCTTCAGGCTATTATTGCAAAAAATAAAGTGTCACCACCAGCCAAGAAAAGGGACAATGACAGAGAACAAGCAAGAGTTGCGAAAGAAGTGGAGAAGTAGAGCTTTTTCCCCAAAAGAAGTTACAGTTTTCACATAAAATATGAAGAGCAAGTGCCGCTGCAGGAGTGCCCGTTGCCAAGAGTTGCTTGGTTGCCATTCACTAAGTGGCATCACTCTGGGGTTCTCATTGTACATCACCTTTTGTTCTTCGACTTTTTGCTGTGTCTCCTTTTTGTTACTGTTGCACAAGGTAAGTAGTTCCTTTCTCATTTCTGATGAGCCTTGGAAGTATATCGGTCCGCCCTATCTGGTAATGTGGGCTTAGTCCACGGGGTCTTAGCTGTCGACTGCCTCGCATGTCATACCCTCAGCCAGGCATGCTAACATTCATCGGAGGATAAAAATCACTTTTCAACTCAAGCATAAAGCTCCTATTTACTCAGGCCTTTTCCAAAGCTGGCAAAATGCTCTAAGATGTGAAAGCCTATGGTTTTGCTTATTTAAATAACCCACTGGACGTTGCCAAATGAGTGAGCTGCTTCTGAGACTTCTCCTTCCAAGCAGCAGCACCCGTGATAACAGGTCAAGTGAGCATGCAGGGGTCTCCTTCCTCCCCCAGGGTTTGGGAATACAACCTGAAAGCTTGTGAGTAGCTTAGCTGACAATGTCTTTGATGTCTCTTTCTTTGTCTCCAAAAGTCATGTAAATTTTATATACTGTTCAATATTATCTGCATTTGTTTTAACATAAAAATGTTTTGCTGCCTACTTTTTTTCTCCCAAAAAATCTTCAAGTAACGATGGTCTAGGGAAAAAAAACAACTTAGAAATCTTTGGTTTACTAAGTTGGGAATATATGACAGTACAAGCACGCAGCAAAGGTATTTCTGTTTAGAAAAAAATGGTAAACTATATTGCTAATGCATCTCCAGTGAGATGTCTTTTTTTACAGGATAAAAAGATCAGTTTTAGGTTGAGAGGGGACTTGGAGTTATTCCAGTTGACTATTAAGCTAATGCTGGAATCCCCTCCACAACATCCTGCCCAGAAATTCAAATACCTCCTTCAATAGCTGAAGAATTAACTCTGCTGGAGAGCTCTTGTTGATTTAATTTTTTTTCTTAGAAAAACAAAAAGAAAAAAAGGTTATGTATGATTATGTAGAGCTAGGCACTGTGCTAAGAACTTTATTTTATCACATTAATCTTTACAACTACCTGAAGATCTAGGTTCCCTTCCCTTGTTACTATCTCACAGATAAGGAGACACAGAAAGGTTAAAGGTCACATCAGGCAACTATTGGAACCAAGTCATGCCATGATCCTTGAAGGAGTTTTACTTAGACACCATATATATTTCCATTTACCACAAGCTACAGACTTGTCCTCCTTAATTTGTTTCTAAACTAAAAATGTCTTTTAAAAATGGAATAAACAGTCTATACCAATATTTCAGATATAAATCGTTTATTAATAGTACTCCAAATTTAATGAAATTGCAATATTTTAAGATTTTTGCTTATAGTTAAAATGCAGAGGCCACATTATCAAAACATGAAGCAAATATGTCACTAGAAAGAATACGAGATATAAAGCTGGCCCCATCAGATGGGTTGTTCAGCCTACTTATTCCATACTTGTCCTATTTACTTGCTATCTCTTATAAATAATGGCGTGGGCTTTAGGTAATTTTGTCCCAGTAGGTAGGATTTATTCGTGAAGAGGGAGAATAAATAATACTTTAGTAAGAAAACAGCACATATATGCATGGTTTCTACTTCTACCTGCCTGTAAAACAGGCAAAGTAGCTCAACTGAAATAAAAGTTATAAGAAATACTATTCTCGAATTTGAATTAATAACTCTTGTTCACAAAACTAATGCTATACTCCTTAAACCTGAAGCACTTTTTTTTTAACTACAAAGATTGGGTTGCCTCAGAATCAATTCATAAGACAGGCAGTGATTACTTCTTCAAAGTACAGCCTCACAAGCAACCAGCTACTGTTGACTTAATGGTAAGGCTTCTCTTGATCTCCAGAACTGCTGAAGGGTCCTGAGTGGCTCTGAAAGGGCTGTTTTTTCCCTCAGAAAGGCACAAAAGGCTCCTGTGTCTACAACTTCCGTCAACTCATTCAGAACCAGTGGCCTCCATTTTTACATCCAAGCCACTCCTTTTACATATTTGAAACTCAAAAAAAGCATAACATTATAAACAAGGTGACACAGATGTCTTCACAGGGCTATAAAGGAGGAACTACAATTATCCATGTTGTTTTTAGGTCAGGTTTTTTGCTTTTACAGCCCTAAAATGTTGTTGGGTTTTTTCATCTCAGCCCTAGAATGTTTAAAACAGACTACTAAAACATAATTTGCATGACCAACTTATTCTCCATTGAAGCTCAGCTCATAAAAAGTTCATTCATGTTAAAAAGTTATTTTCAAATGCGCCTAACTCATTGCTTAGAATATGCTAACAATTAAGCCTTATACTTCAGTGGAATTTTTAAAGTTTAAAGTTTTATTTCTCCCATCTCGTTTCCACCTCCCCCAATTCTGCCATCCTGAATATCAACATTATTTTAAACTTTGCTGTTTTCTATTATAGTAGCCTCATTCATTGGTCATTCAGAACACTGAACACTCTGGCATCTGACTTTTAAAGTCAGCTATACAAGTCAGATTTTGGCCACCTAAAGATGCATGAGCACATCATGTCAAAGCCCAAAGGAAGTTTCTCCAGGCAAAACCGGGGAAGATCTACCCATGGTGAACAGGCTGTGCCCTTCAGGAACCACAATCCCTATTGGGTCATTCACAAAAAGACCAAAAGCAGGCTCTGCTTGCAAGGTCTTGTATCTCATCCCATCACCTCCCTCGGTGGGGGTGACAGCATGCCTCACACACCCTGGTGAGAGTGCACACATGCTCACGCGCACGCCAGGTTGCCAAGATGACAATTTACTACTCGAGTAAGGCATGAGGTTTAAACAATGCTCTAAAATATTACAGCCTAGAGTTATTGACAAAGCTGAGTCCCCACAAATAGACCTGAAGCTGCAAAATGCAGTAAGTGGTTTACAGAAAAAGTGTCCAATCCAACACACAGTAGTCAAGCTTGCAGGATTCTTGAGATGTATGGCAGGTTAAAACAAGTGACGCCAACAGGCCTACTCTTCAATTTGACACAAGGATATTATCACACCCATTAGATGGGCCTGAAGCTTAATATAGCACTTTACTTTAATGTTTAAAGCAACACGTGAACAAAATAAATGAAAGCTTAATAGCAGAGTAAAGCCATGCCTGAGTTAAACTTCTGGTAATATAACACTTGGGGGTTCCGTGCCCATTTCTTCCTGTGAGTTTAAAGTACATTACTAGCATGATCTCATTAATCCTTACAACACCTGATGAGGGAAGTAGGCAGCAAGTATTTTAATCTTCCACTATAAGATGTAAAAAAAAAATGTTCTGTATAACTTTTCCCAGAATTACTGCTGACACTCAGCCCTAAAGTCAGAAAAACAGTTGATTTGAATCTCAGTAAAGAATTGAATACACTAGGCTATTTTAAAGGAAATGCTTCTCACTGAGATAAAATGGCTTCTTAATTAGGCAGTCATATACAATATTCTTTCCATATGGATTGCCATTCTGGTTCTCACAAAGTTTTTACACTTTATACTACACTGTCAAATAGATTTAATTTTTTAAATGCACACTTCCCTACAAGTGTGGCTTCCAGTTGTGCTTTTCAAACAGGGGCATCGTCATACCATCAGGGTTGTTCAGCAGTGTGCCAAAGGGGTTCACAAAGTCTAGGCCAATGGGGCGCATTTGCTTGGAACTCAGTTTGAATAGATGGTCACTCTGAAATCTGATTTTTTTATGACTCTTATTTAACATAGTACAAGTAGTCCTAGCCAGAGCAATCAGACAAGAGAAAGAAATCAGAGGTACCAAAGAGAAAAAGAAGTTAAATATCTCTCTTCACTGATATGATTCTAAACCTAGAAAATCATATAGATTCTCCAAAAAAACTCCTAGCACTGATAAATAACTTCAGTAAAGTCTCAGGATATAAAATCAATGTGTAAAAATCAGTTGCATTTCTACATACCAACAACAAGTAGGCTGAGAACCAAATCAAAAACACAATTCCACTCACAATAGCCACCAAAAAAAATCCCCCAAAATACCTTGGTATTCCACCTACCCAAGGACATGAAAGATCTTTACAATGAGAACTAAAAACACTGCTCAAATAAATCAAGGACAACACAAACAAATGGGAGAACATCCCATACTCATGGTTTGGAAAAATCAGCAGCATCTACGTTGGGCACAGGAGCTCACACCTGTAATCCCAGCACTTTGGGAGGCTGAAGTGGAAGGACTACTTGAGACCAAGGGTTCAAGATCAGTCTGGGTAACATAGAGAGACCTTTCCTCTAAGAAAAAAATAAATAAAAATTAGCTAGGCATGGTGGCACACACTTGTAGTTGCAGCTACTTGGGAGGCTGAGGCAGAAGG